ATCAATAATATGAACCGACTTCTTAAAAACATAGAACTTCAATTTGACGATATCGTTAATATGAACTGAGAAGAACATGAACCAATTGATAATCTCACCTTGTAGAAGTTAACCAATGTCTTTTGATCATATTCACACTCTCTCTGCTCCAAATACTGCAATTCACAAAAAGGAAAAGGACAAATTTTCATAACTTCCAAATGATTTGGGAATGAAGTTCCAAAAGGAAAAGTTAAGTCACAAAATTCCAAATGAAGAAAGGGAGATGAAGCAGCTAGGGTTATTATATTGATTCAACCACAAACCATGAAGATGATAGATAAGAAGACTCTTGCGCCACCCAAATAACTCCACCATTTATATTTTTCATAAAATAAATTTGAAAAGATATTAAATTACTTCCATAGCTGCTCGTTCCCTTTCAGGACTCCCCCGCACACAGAAAGCTGCTCCCCACTGCCAAAAAAGTTGTAATTTCTTTAATTTGAAAAAACTAATTTCAGTTAATCTTAGTTAGATCAGTTAATCTTACACAAATAGCTCCTTCTTCCTGTTCCAACGTGAGAGTTCTAGCAGGATTTTCTGGCGTACCTCTGTGATCAATGCATGCTGGTCCAAATATGAGGCAGATTGTTATGAACAAGAAAATTAACATATCCAGTACATAATCAAAACTGAATGGATGATTTTAATTATTGAAAAGAACATCTGCAACAGTTTCTAGCTGGAAATAGTAAACTTACCGAGGTCGAATACGCGCTTATAATCCTTGATGTAACCTACAATTTTCTCATCAAATTCAAATCCTGGGTTCCACACCAGTGAGCCATATCCAAATACCCAAAACACCATGATTATAAAGCTCCTGAAAAAGAGGAAAAAAAAAATCAAGATTAATCGAACAAGTCCTAAGCATTCAAAGGTTAAATTACAAATTTGACTAGAATTTAGTTCTATGATTCAAAAGTTAGCCTAAAATCAACTCATCAGAAATCAAAATGCAGATTTAAAGAGGTAGAAGAAAGGGAATATTACTCATAAAGAAAAAAATCAGAGGATAATGTTTCTGAAATCGCCATCAATGGTCTATAATTAGACCAATAACGCACTCGTCTTATTCCAAAACTCAAATTAGAAAATTAAAACCACGAACGGGGAATTCAAGCGGATAATACAAAAAAACGTAGAGTGCGACCAATAACAGCCCGCATTGCATCACAAATTAATCAAGAAACAACCGGAAGAAGAAAAAAAACGCCAAAAATCTCGATCAATCAACAGAGCATATGGAGAACATCACGGTATATATAGAGACAAAGAACTTAATTCTTACGCGGAGATCCGAAAACTTTTCCCGGAAAATGAGAGAGAAAGACGAGGACGAGCGAGATTTTTTTTCTCTTCTCTTTTCCTCTGATCTAATGAACAATGCGAAGAACAGCGAGTGAGAGAGAAAAAAATGCAAAAAAAATCAACGACGGAGAGAAATAGGGAAGAATTCAAGCCAAAAGATGTTAGGGTTTTAGCTTCGAAATCGAGATTTGAGAGTGGTTGAGCTCTGTTCTTCCTCCCTCTCTCTCTCTCTCTCTCTCTTTCTCTCTCTCTCTCTCTCCCTCCCTTCCAAGACAATGGTATTTTTTCGAGAGAGATCCAATAAGCGAGCATTGAGACTCTTTATAGTGCACGAAGATGAACGCAAACTGAAACCCCTCCCCACGGAGTTCAGACCACTTGCGCGCCACGTCAGCAGCCGGAGGCTATTCCACGGGGCACGAACGACGACGTATAGAATATATTATCCGTTTCCGCATGACTTGTAAGGTTGTAAGACAGATTCTGTCAAATTTATTATTTGGTAATAAAAATAATATAAAATGTCAAAAGTGTTGGCTTTAGAACAAGAATTAAATATGTTCAATTGGCGACAAAAATTTCTATCCACTTGGAGATTAAACAGAATCTTTAATATTGTTAGGTTTCTTTCCTAACCATTTAGTTTTATTTCTTAATTTTTTAAAATTAAATTTGTTTTTCCATAATTTTTTAAGATATATTTAAATTTTTAGTCATATTTAAAAAAAACAAAAACAAAAACATAAATTTAAAAACATTTTCTTAATTTTTAAATTTTAATTTAGTTTTTTTAATTAATTAAAATAGACAACCACCAAAATAAATTTACTAATAAAGATTTAAATGGTTATGAAACAAACATTAGAGGTACAAATGTCCAATTAACTCGTGAAGTCGAAGTCTCATGAAAACCGAATAAATGGAGGAAGAAATAGGGAGAGAAAATTTTCTTTATTAACTAAATAAAGTCCGAGATGTCTCCATCTCTATCCCTAAATTTGTCTCGCTTTATTTATATATATATGAAATATTATTAGATTTTTAAGATGTTTTATAATTTTTTTAATAAAAAATATATTGAAATTTTGATTTTTTATAGTTCGATCTTTACAAATTACTGGTAGGAAATTCTCGATTATTAAAAAAATAAATAACAATTTCAGAATCAAAAAAAGGACTCTCGGTAATATTTCTTCTAACTCGTAAATATCTCTTCTAATTAGATTCTATTTATTTATTATTATTATTTTTTTTTGTTTCAACCTTAAAAAGTTCTCTCCCATGTTGTCTTTTGGTTTGTTCCCTTCCCACCGAAAGGGAAAGAAGGAATAATCTTATCAGTTACACAAATTTATAATTACTTTAATAAATTACAGATTTACAAATTTAATACAATTTATTTTCTAAATTATAATATGTATAACGTGACGAGAATAATTATAGAGGCTCTTATCTTATGAAATATGTAAGGATCTCATCGAGAATCTGAATATCTAAGGAGAGCAATCCTCTCAAACACAGATAGAACGAATTTAGAAGTTAAATCTTAAACGATGAAAATTGAAACACCACTCCTCGAAATCATTGACAATCACCGTATGAGAGCTTAAAGTTCTTACTTGCTCTTCAAAGAACGGCGATGGAGACCAGAGTTAGTGGAATGAGATCTTAGTTATGTCGAGATTTGGGTTATCTATTATGAGATCCCATATCGGTTTGAGAGGAAAACAAAACATTTCTTATAAGGATGTGTAAACTTCTCTTTAGTAGATGCATTTTAAAACCTTGAGATTGACGGTGACACATAATGAGCCAAAGTAAATAATATTTGCTAACAATGGGTATGAGATCTCATATCGGTTAGAGAGGAAAACAAAACATTTTTTATAAGGATGTGTAAACTTCTCTTTAGTAGATGCATTTTAAAACCTTGAGATTGACGGTGACACATAATGAGCCAAAGTAAATAATATCTGCTAACAATGAGTTTTGGTTGTTACAAATATTATCAGAGTCAGTCACTAGATAGTGCGAGACACTCGTCGGAGTAGGACTAGATCGTTTCCATAAGAGACACGTTTTAAAACCTTGAGAGGAAGCCCTTGAAGGGAAGTCGAAAGAAAACAATATCTACTAGCGATGAATTTGGACCGTTACAAAATGTATCAAAGTCAGACACCGAGTAATATACCAGCAAGAACGCTGAGTCTCCAAGGAGAATAGATTGTAAAATTCTACATCGGTTAGATAAAATAACGAAACATTTTTCATAAAAGTGGAGAAGAATACGCAATTTATTTGGAAATTTTTCAAAATTAACTTGCGGTCCATGATAGTAAATGAAAATGAGAGACGAAGGTGGAGCAACCTTGGTTCATTGAACCAGGACACTTGGGGACATTGACAGCGAATCACTGTTATTGTCATCTCCTCTCCGCCCAATCTTCGTTGCCTCATCCGCTTCATTACGTGGCCCAAGTTTAATATTCCCCCAAGTTAATGGAAAGGAATAGATTATCCAATGATATCGCTCATTGTTTAATCATCGTAAGTGGATCAAGTCATATGTGTTGAAGATTGTTGGGAGTGAATCTTATATTGACTAATTTAGAAAATGATCATGAGTTTATAAGTAAAAGAATACATCTCCAAAGTCCAAAGCAAAATTATGAGAGTTTATGCTCAAAGTGGCCAATATCATACAAATCCACCATTCTTAACAATATGTTCGTCTAGATCGAACTAGATGTACACATTAGTCGATCGATATTTGTTTTTGAGCTCAACCCAACGTTGAAAATCAAAGGAGGTAGGAATCCATGCACGAGGCTAGATCGAAAGGACAACAATGAGGAGAGAGATTAACAATCAAAACATCACATTTTCATCGACATATCCATAATTTTACAAGTTTCTTTAAATTTGAGGTATCAAATTTCAAATATTCTTTTTTTTTTTTGAAGGGAAAAAGTCAGTATTTTATATATCATATTTAAACATAAAAACACTGTGTTTGAGTTGATTTTATGTTAATCAAGATATATTTATTTATTCAAAAAAAATATTTGTATTTAAAATTTAAATACTATTTTAGTCAGCTATTTTTAACTTTAATTTATTATAATTGTAATTTTGCACGTCAAAATATTCATTTTAATCTCTCTACTTTTAATTTATTTCTATTTTGGACTTTTTACGTTTAAAAAATTAACCATTTTTATCTTTTTTTTTTATTTCATTTCTTTCTATTATAATTTTGGCTTTAAAAATGAAAAAATGAAAAAAAAAAAAAGAATTTAAATGAAATGGAAAAATAAAAATAAAATTTAAAATTCAGTTCGTGTAGTGGGAAAGTGCGCGTTATGAACCCATGGAGAATGGGGCATTTATGCGTTCTTCTATTTTAGCGCGAAGATTGTGCATCGAAGCGAGCGAGTCGGCAATGCAGAAGGTTCTGGCTTCTTCACTTCATCTGAAATTGGTAAGGTGAACAACTCTCTCTCTACTGAAAAAAACTCTTCCGCATTGCAACATAACGCTTATTCATTCGATTTATCTTGCAATTTCGATTACTTTCCATCTTTCCACACACTCTTTTCTGTTCTACTTGAAAATCGAGATCACAAGCGTTTAATCTTGCCGTAATCCTTCGATTCTTCATATATTTGTCGGCGAATCAACACCGATTCGATTTCATATCACATTTTACGGTTTCTATTACGGAATGGCGTTTGATTTTCCGTTGTCAGATGTTGCATTTTAGGTAAAGCAATTTGGATTGAAATAGAGAGCTGAAGAATTTCTAAACTGAAAAACGAAGAAAATTTTAGTACGAAATGAAGGAGGAGGACGGCAAACGTGGAACGGAGGTTTCAGGTTCTCGTCGGACGCGGTCTCGTATAGCACCGGATTGGACAGCGGCGAATTGCCTCGTTCTTGTTAATGTGATTGCAGCTGTGGAGGCGGATTGTTGGAAAGCTTTGTCTAGCTTTCAGAAATGGAAAATTGTTGCAGAGAACTGCACGTCTTTGGATGTGGCTCGGAACTCGAATCAGTGCAGGAGGAAGTGGGACTGTTTGCTGATTGAACATGATGTTATCAAGCAATGGGAGTTAGAGATGCCGGATGATGATTCGTATTGGTGTTTGGAAAGTGGAAGGAGAAAGGAATTGGGACTTCCTGATAACTTTGACGAGGAGCTGTTCAAAGCAATCGATAATGTTGTATTGATGAGGGCGAATCAGTCGGATACGGAGCCTGATAGCGATCCTGAGGCTGCGGTTGAGAAGGTAGATGAAGCTGCAGAGCCTGGTATGGTTCTTTGTTTCCTAGAGTGCTTATTGATTACATTTCTATGGTATCAAGTTTTCATGTGAATTTCTACACTTAGTTTCTTTGAATACACTTGATACTATCATTTTTGCTTCACTTAATTACTTAAAAACCTTTGTTTGCCGGCCTTGGGCGAGCAAGGTATTCCCTGAGATTAGCATAATGGGGCATGAACATAATTGCAAGGACCAGCTCTGATAGTTTGCTTATAGGAAAGTCATTTTTTGCTTGTCGATGAAATTTTCTATAACGGTCCAAGCCTACCGTTAGTAGATATTGTCCTCTTTGGGCTTTCTCTTTTGGACTTCCCCCCTTCAAGGTTTTTAAAACGTGTCTGCTAGGGAGAGGTTTCCATACCCTTTTAAAGAATGCTTTGTTCTCCTCCACAACCTATGTGGGATCTCATAATCTACTCCCCTTCGGGGCTCAGTGATCGTTCTCCTCCCCTACAGACGTGGGATCTCATAATCTACGTTCTCCTCCCCAACCGATGTGGGATCTCACAACTTACGTTCTCCTCCCCAACAGATGTGGGATCTCACAATCTACATTCTCCTCCCCAACCGATGTGGGATCTCACAACCTACGTTCTCCTCCCCAACAGATGTGGGATCTCACAATCTACGTTCTCTTCCCCAGCCGATGTGGGATCTCACAATTTACTCCCCTTCGGGGCTCAGCGTTCTCACTGACACTCGTTCCCTTCTCCAATGATGTGGGACCTCCTAATCCACCCCCTCGAGGCTAGCATCCTTGCTGACATACCGCCTCATGCCACTCCCCTTTGGGGCTCAGCCTCGTTGCTGACACATCACCCCGGTGTCTGGCTCTGATACCATTTGTAACAGCCTAAGCCCACTGCTGTCCTCTTTGGTTTTCCCTTTCGGGCTTCCCCTCAAGGTTTTTAAAATGCATATAGGAAAGGTTTTCACACCCGTATAAAGGATGTTTCGTTCTCGTCTCTAATCGACGTGGGATCTCACATTTTCAATACATTTATTGGTTTCTTCTTGTTTTTAATGCTGTAAAATTAATAGAAACAAGTGATTGAAATTCTTGTATTTCTTGTTTGGTATTAAATCCAGAGTAACATGATATCATATCTACAAATAACTCTATATCATCAACCAGAATGTCGAATGTTCGAATCTCCATCTCCACAAATTGTTGAACTTTAAATCTTGAGTAGCCATTTCAGTATCTAGATCTTTTTGGTTCTTTAATTCATTCGGGGAATTTTGAACTTTAGAGGTCTGCTAACATACATCATAACAAGGCCTGATGAGACAGGATTGCCTATTAGGGTTCTTTTGACATCCTAATTTTTTTCATGGAGATGAAATACAGCTCTAACTGCGTTTTCCTACGGCTTAATTGTGAAATGTGGTTAAAGAGTGAGATGGATCTTATAATTCCTGTCTTCAAGTCCCTTCAATAATATTGGTTTGTTCTTCTTTCTGGCATTGTGATGTTAGGCCCTAAAAGGCAAAGACGTTGTTCAATGTCCACAAGAAACCAAGCTCTTGAGAAATCTGTAAAATGTGAAGAAGAAGAAGAAGAAGAAGAAGAAGAAGAAGAAGAAGAACCTCTGGTGAGCTCTCCGGAAGTAGAGCGTCGTGGATGCTACATCAAAAGCCACGGAGAAAAGGCAACCGATAACACCGAACCCGAAGAGCAAACGATGACGAAGAAATTGCTTGAAACTGCAGAAAAAGTTCAAGCAATTGTGTCTGAGAATGCAAAATATGCAATGTCCGGCGAAAAAAACGACAACGACAACTACAACAACCGAACTAATTCCATTAGGCGTCAAGGGAGCAAGCTTATCAAATGTCTTGAAGATTTTCTCAACACCATTAACGATCTCCATAGCCTGCCCGAAGATCAAGAGTAACTCTCATTTTGCATTTCGCTGTTCTTTAAGCCACCGAGTAAGAGATATTCTTCAATGCCTTCCTCAACTCCTTGTGTAAATGTCTGTTTAAATCCATTTTGTTTGAGTTCTTTTCGCAGGTGAACTCATCGGAGCTTTGAATCTTCCCATCTCTCTTCCTACAGACAAAATTCCAAGCTGACCATTCGAGCAACAACAGCAAAAGGTTGCCGATATTTTCCAGGTTTCCAATGTTTATTTTTGCATCTTCTTCTGTCTTATCTCTCTTTTATCATTTTTTTTTCTATTGAGTTAGAATTTATTTATTTATTTAACTATTAATTTTCTATAACTATCTTTTTAAGTGATTACGTAAAAAGAATTTGTCGAAAAGTCACTTTATTATACTCTTTAAACGTGTTTTTATTATTATTTATTTTCAAGTTATTTATTTATTTATTTATTTTTATTATTATTATGTTAAATTAGATTGGATTGAGACGAACAAATTATGCCCTCATCTCAATTCAATCTGATTAGGTTGGAGTTTGATGAGGCTCTTTCAATTTTTTGTTTTTAATTAAAAAATAAAATATTCTATATTTTTATTTTCAAGCATTGAATTAAAATTTTACAATTCAATTTTAATATATATTTTATTAAGAGTGGTTTGAGAATAAATAATAATAATTTTAAGGATATATATAATTGTATTATAAGCCATAAAAATATTTTTTTAATTAACAATAAATTTAAGTGGGTTTGGTTCAATTCAAGCTAATTTTATTGAACTTGTGACCAAACTAATTTATAAAATTTTTATTTATTTAAATTAATTAAATACGAGCTTCATGTAATATTTTATAATTTAAAATTGTAGTAGTTTCTTCCTCATTAATTACAAATCTGTTAAATAATACATAAATAAAATTGGGACTGATTATTCGTAAGCAACAAAGCTGATATCTTGCATGTTTTTTAAAACTTAATTTCAAAATTTCAAAATAATTTTTATTTCATTGTATTCTTTAAATCTTGGTTTGGCCGAACAAAACAGCAAATTCAATCCCCATTTTCTCATTGTAAAAGTTTGAAAGCAACTAGAAGACTTGTATTGAAAAAGCTTTGAAAATATATAAATTTTTTAAAAATAACTAATTTATTAAATATAAAATTTTATTAGTTGAATAACCAAACAACTTGCTGGCCTAGGCCACCTCTGGGACATTGTTTCACAACAGGAAAGAAGTAAGCTACGTCTAGATGAATGTCCTCTTTCACGACGAAGTAAGACTAAGTTTATAAGTTTATAAGTTTATTATCCTAGGTCGAAACAAGTTGATAGGATAGGATTCTCTTTTTTATGTTTTCATGTCCCTCTCGTGTGGCGACATGGGGCGAGAAAAAAAGGAAAGAGGGACAAAATTTCTCTTTTTTAGTATAATGGGCTTCGGGTGGAATACTCTTATTAGATACAAAATTTAAATAACACAAAATTAAAGAATTAAAAAAAAAAAAAAAAAACAAAGGTTTTGCTAAACTCTCATGTTTTCTCTTCCTCTAACAAGAAGAAGTGTCAAAAATAGTCAAAGGTCGAAATAGATGGAGGCAACGGTTACAGTTTGAAAGAATCAAATAAAACGAAAATAACTATAAATAAGAACCAGAAAATGAGAGAAGGGAGAGAGAGAAAGTGATATGAAGGTTGTTTGAATCCTTGTTCTAGAGAGAGAAAAAGAAAAAGAAAAAGAAAAAGAAAAAGAAAAAGGGGGAAAATGTGGTTACCAAGATACAGCTTAGACAGAAAAGAGAGATTGAATGTGAATGGATTTGTGGCGGTGGCCATTGACAAAGACAAAGGCAGCCAAGGGGCTCTCAAATGGGCAATTGATCATTTGCTTCGTAGAGGCCAAACTGTTTTCCTCGTTCATGTCAAACTCAGATCCCCTTCTAATTCTTCCCTAAGTAAGTACTCTCTCTCTCTCTCTCTATCTCTAATTCTTCCTCGTTTCTTTTTTTTTTTTTGTTTTAGATTCTCTATTTCTTGGAAATTTCATTTTTCATATTCATTTTAAGAAGCAATGAGACGTATACCTGTTTACAAAGTTAAATATTTTTAATCCTTTAGCTCACCCGAAAAACTTTAACCCACAAACCAATCCAAGTTTTTTATTTTCCAAAAGTTTAACTCAACCCAAATAAAAAAAAAAAAATCTTACCAAACCCAACTTTTATAATTTGGGTTTAAATTTAGTAACCTCGTTGGTCAACTCATTACCAAACTCAACTTTTATAGTTTGAGTTTGAATTTAGTAGCCTATTGGTCGGATTATTGAATCATTTTTAGGTTAGATATGAGTCGATGAGAATGTTTCATTAAATTTAATCTTTCTAAAGTTTCTTTCTATTTCATCTCTTCTGTATCAATTTTTTAAAGTTGAGCCTTTATCCTAAGTGAATATTAGGCTTACGTTAGTCTAATACTCAAAACAGAACAAAACGCTTCATCGGCAACACGAGGTCGATTTGATGTGGTGACTTACTTAACCTGAAATTATTTGTTTATATAAAATATTTTACTTTGAACTTCCTTTGAAAAAAGAAAAAAAAAAAAAACCCATAATTTTAGTGTATTTCTTGCAAAGTATTTTTTTTTTTGATATATATATATATATATATATATATATATATATATATATATATATATATATATATATATATAT